CGTGTGCCACCACCACCTAGCCTCTGACAATATTTTGGGAAGTGGGAAATATTTTAATGCCCTTACCAGTAGATAACATGGGGCATAAGAAATATTGGACAATTTTCTGCTTGTAGTGCATACAAGTTGGGTGTCAATGGAGGTAAGAAGTGACTTCACGTGGATAGACGCTCTAAGCTCTGAGAAGAGGATGTGGACAGCAAAGGTTGTCAATCAGGATGACCGACTAGAAGGTTATGCAGAAAGATCCAGGAACTTCATTGCTACTAGGATACCATGACCTGCTCTGTGGATAGATTGGAATAGATTGGAGGATTTAACTGACAAGGGTCCTGAGGAGAGATGTTGAACATAGGTGTGTGTGTGTGTGTGTGTGTGTGTGTGTGTGTGTGTGTGGTGTGTGTGTGTGTGTGTGTGTAGAGGAGGCCAGTTTCATAGAGTATAGAGAGAAAAGACAACTCCAGGGGAGCAGAAACTAATGGGGGGTTCCTGTATGCTGTTAATATATGTTTCTCTTATTGGTTGATGAATAAAACACTGATTGGCCATTAGCTAGGCAGGAAGTATAGGCAGGGCTACTAGACAAGGAGAATTCTGGGGAGAGGACAAAGCGAAAAGTGGCCAGAGAGACGCCATATAGGAAAATAGGACGTTGGACATTCTCCAGTAAGCCAAGACCATGTGGAAATACTTAGATTAATAGAAATGTGTTAATAATTAAGAGGGAGCTAGCTAATAAGAAGCCTGAGCTATTGGCTGAATAGTTTATAGTTAATAGAGGCCTCTGTGTATTTATTTGGGATTAAAGGGCTGTGGTACCTGGAGGGAAAGAAATTTCCATCTACAAGAAACAATGAACCAATAATAATCTTCTCCTCCAGAAGGAAACGTACCAATGTTTAATGTACCCAGAGTGAACATTTCCCTTATTTGGGCTATTTTGAGGGTTCTGACTTAGCTCATCTAGACTCTCCTGCTGTATAAATACAGCAAGAGAACTGCAAAAGAAACCCACTTCTGCTAACACTACTAATCAGAGTGATGCTAAATTTGTAATTATGGATAGTAAATTTAAAAAATATCACTAGACATTTGTGAAAAACAAAAGCAGGAAAGAAAGGAGGCTGAAGAAAGAGGAGGAAAAAAAAGAAGTGAGAAAGAGAAGATAATGGGATGCTTCTATGATGTTTTAAGTGCTATTTCACCCATAGACAATACAAAGAATTAAAATCTATTTTCAACTTAAAATGATGAAGCACCATTAGATGTTTGCCAATGCATAAATATTTACATGATCACTTAATTATGATTAGCTAGTTTTTGTTTTTACCATGTTTAGGACCAATCAATAGGCAAACTACCCACAACTAAATGAGCTAAATAATGAAATGCAAATGACACAAATCCTGACAGCATACAAATACAAAACTGATGTTGCCAGCAGAGGGGGAAGTGACAGGGGTAATGTGAAACTCTAATTTTATTGTACTTAATTGGGAAACATTGGGTAACCTTTCTTTGTATTTGTGAAAGTTACAATAAACGTGACTAAGAAGCTAGCTATTATGTCTCAGGATGAGGATCGATTTTAGTAAAAGTACTCTAAACTGCTCATCTTTATTTTATTTACTTATTATTTATTTTATTTTTTGAATTTTTTATTTGAATTAGAAACATGATTGTTTTACATGTCAATTCCTATTCTCTCTCCCTCTCCTCTGCCCCTAACATCCTAACTAACATACCCTAACATCCTACCTATACCATACTAACATTCTACCTATCCCATACCCTTTCTGCTCCCCAGGCCTTCCATTGGGGTCTTCTGAGTCTGTCATATCCTCTGGGATAGGGAGTGGGCCCATCCTGTGTGTCTAGGCTCAGGGAGTATCCCTCTAAATGGAATGGGCTCCCAAAGTCCAATCCTATGTTAGGGATAAGTACTGATCTACTACAAGGGTCCCCATAGATTTCTGAGGTCTCCTCACTGACACCCATGTTTGTGGGGGTCTGGAGCAGTACCATGCTGGTTTCCCAGCTATCAGTCTGGGGACCAAGAGCTCTCCCTTGTTCAGGTCAGCTTTTTCTGTGGGTTTTACCAGCCTGGTCTGAACCACTTTGCTCATCACTCCTCCTTCTCTGCAATTAGATTACAGATCAGTTCAGTGTTTAGCTGTGGGTATCTGCTTCTACTTTCACCAGCTGCTGGATGAAGGTTATAGGATGGGATATGTTACTCTTCAATCTCATTATTTAGGGGAAGGCATTTAAATTAGCCTCTCCTCTGTTGCTTAGATGATTAGTTGGTGTCATCCTTGTAGATCTTCAGACATTTCCTTAGTGCCTGAATTCTCTTTAAACCTATAATGTCTCCTTCTATTATGGTATCTCTTATCTTGCTCTCTTCTATTCTTCCCCCAACTCAACCTTCCTGCTTCCTCCTGTCCTCCTCACTCCTCATCTTCTCTCCTTCTCATTAATAGGGGTGTATTAGTAAGGGTTCTCTAGAGTAACAGAACTTACAAAATGAATATGGAAAGATGATTTATTGGAATGACTTGGAAAGATCCAGAAGAGGTGTGGTCCAGTTTAGAGGCTGGTCTTTCCACTTCAAAAGATATGAATTAATGGTGTATCTTCATACCTCATAGATCCAGGTTAGACGTTGATCTTTCTTCAAATTCACCAATATCCCTCATAGGTGTGCCTCATTTGGTGGTTTTATTAATTCCATATATAGTCAAGTTGACAACCAAAACCAGTCATCACAAGAGGAGATACAAATGCCTTCTTAAACTGAACAATTTAGAAGAGAGAAATAAACATGTTATAATTGCAGGGCCCAGTACCACAAAGGCTAAGACTAATAATGGTAAAATTTTCAGTGCAGAAGCTGGAATTAGAGGTAGACAGCAAGAAGGGACTTGGGTTTTATTCATCTGTCTCCGGATGAAGAGTTTCTTGACCTCTCTAAACCTCTATAAACAAATAGTTTAAAATATTCTCATTGTTGTAGGATATCCACCAGAAAAGACTACCCAGACATGGTTTAAACCAATAGAAAGTTTTTATAAGCCAGCCAGCAACTACACTGGGCATTCAGAATCCAAGCCTTTCTTAGGGTGAGATTTTTTTTTCAGCTTTTTGACTCAGGGTTTCTCTGTGGCTTTGGAGGCTGTCCTGGAACTAGCTCTTGTAGACCAGGCTGGTCAAGAACTCAGAGATCCACCTGCCTCTGCCTCTGCCTCTGCCTCTGAAGTGCTGGGATTAAAGGTGTGTGTTACCACAGCCTGGTAGGATGAGATTTTTTTTTTTAATCACAAAAATCCCCAACCATATTCTGGGTTTACCTACTTCAGTTAATAAGAACAGTTAGCCAGAAGCAGAACTACAGAAGCTAAAAAGCAAAGTTAGTACATTTAGAGATTTTTTTCCCAGACTTTGATGGATTAGGTCTTTGCTTTAGTTTTGGCAGGTGGGGTTGTCTCTGTGCTGAGTTGTACAGCTGTGTTAAGGTCTAGGGGCCCACTAAGGTCTTACATATTATTCTAGTCACTTTTGCTATAACCAAGTGCCTGGGTCTGAATCTTTTATTTGGCTTACAATTCTGGTGTCTGGAGGGTCCAAACAGTATAGTAGTAGGTTGATGACTATTAGAACATGTCCAAGAAATACAGAGGAAACTAGAACACACAGTAAGGCACATGTAGAAGAGGTGATCTTGCTTTATAACAACCCACTCTTATGAGGATTAACTCACTCTAAGACACCAGCACTAATATCTTCTGAGGGTGATGCAGCAATGCCTTAGTCACATACAATCAGACCACTGTGCTCCTGGTCTTGTAAAAGTTCCGATACTTCTCAGCAATGTCACCCGGGGACCAAGCTTCCATAAAATGATCCTTTGGGACACATCCTAACCACAGCCAAACCACAGTATTAGCCAATACCATTTAAAAAATCTCTTAAGCTTATGAAACCCTGTAGATAAAACTAATAGAGAAGAAAATGATGAATTTTCAACTTAGTAATGCTGGTGCAAAGTCTTAACAGATCAGAAGTTAAATATAAGATTGACATTCAAAAAGAGTTTATTTTCAGAATACAAGGTTGTTTCAATATTAGGAAGTCAATTTACATGGTTGTACATTATTAACATATCAACTAGGGAAAATAGTCATTTGAATTTGTTGAAATTCAGCATCATTTTTCAATGAATAAAACCTTATAACTAAGACACAAGAAAATCTACTGTATATTTTTTGACTTGATAGCAGTGGTTCAAAGGTGTATGCCAAAATTTAATGCTTTAATATTTAAAGTGCTTTTATGAAACAATGAAAAAGAGATATACTCAACAGAAAAATATTAGTATCACACAAATCCCAAATCAACTGTCCTCAAAACAATGAGAAATATTTAAAATAATCAGTATTTAAATAACTGTAAGTGCAAGCTGCAAAATGAAAAATTCTAAATACTATATTGGTAATGTTCACAATGCTACTGTATTTAGAATTGGTAAGGCTGAAAGAAATGCAGAAATGCGCTCTGTCATTTGTCTGGAAGATATGTGCATTGGCAAATTAAGAAATGAAGTTGTCAATATGTTCAAAATCATTAAAAGTACAAGTGCCCTTTAATCTATAAATTCCACTTCTAGTAGTGATTTCTAAAGAAATTACTTAAGAAAAATAATGTTCACAATATCCGGCAACAATATTATGAAAGATTATATTTTATTATGAAAATAGATATAAGTCTAATTCCAACAATGAACTATTACACTATGAAACTATGAAAAATTCATATATGCAATCATTACAACTGATGCTGTACATGAATATTTTTGATACAGAATATGTTAGAGCACATTAGATGATAAGAACACAGCTCAAATCTGTTAAACAGTATCATTCTGTCTGTTTTGCTTTAAATTATCTATCATCTATCTACCATCCATCCATCCATCCATGTATTCATGTATGTATGTATGTATGTATGTATGTATCTATCTATCTATCTATCTATCTATCTATCTATCTATCATCTTTCTATGTATCTATCTTCTATCTTCTACCTATCTCCCTATCTATTTATTGGTAAATAGTGGAAGAATATTTTTGTGATATTAAAATTAATAAGCAACAGCTGGTGTTTCTTCATTCTTACAATGGTTTGTTGTTATTGTGAAGTATATGTTAGTAGTATATGTTGCTTGTTATTTTTCCTTTTCATAAGAAATAAACACTTTTATAAAGAAGAAAACTTTAAGGTAAAATATACATCTATTTTCTCTTCATATAAAGTATAACAGAAGCATAATATGCTTTTTATAAAATAAACCTTACATTACAATTCTAAAATGAACACAATAGAAAATAGAGTGCAGGCAATTACTAAAATAAAACTATAAATGATGTAGGAAAAAGAAGATTTCAACTCTCACTTTTGCTTTCTGAGACAGAGTTTTGTTAAGCATGTAGTCGAATCTGGCTTGGAATTTGTGACCTTTAGGATTCAGGCTCTAATCTCCAAGCTTCTACAGTACAATGGAAGTGGAAACAGGAGAATCCCCACAAGCTCTCAGGCCAGTGGCAAACAATAAAAGACCGTGTCTCCAACAAGGTAGGAGATGAGGGCTGACACTAGAGGTTGTCCTCTGATCTCTCCATGTGCACCATGACACTGTGTTCCCCCCCACACAAAATTAATAAGAGTATTAATTTTCTATCATAGCAAGTACTTAGTGTTATGAGTTATCTCGTGCAATGCAGCTATGATAACAACATTTCTAGAGACTATGACAATATATTTTTATTTTTATTATTATTTTAATTGTGTATATTGTGGGTATCTGTGTGTGGGTATGTGTACATGAGTGCAGGTGTCCTCAGAGGCCGGAGACTTTAGAACCACCTGGGACCTGGAATTACAGGTGGTTGCAAGGAGACTTCTGAAAACTAAATTCCAGTCTTTGTGAGAGCAGTATATGCTCTTAACTGCTGAGACTTCTCTCCAGGCCCCATAGCAAAAGCCAAGATTGTCCATATATCTCTCTCCTAGAATTTCCACTAAGAGATATTGAGGGATGTGTACAGAAGTAGGTGATAAAAATCAGGAGAACCTTACATGTTCAAAAATCTAAGATTGATTAAATCATGGGATATCCATAAAGTCGATATTGAGAAGTTACATTAGTTTTTAGAATAACAATGACATGTAACAGATTCACAATAAACTACGAAGTGATGGGGAGTTTTCTTTTTCTGCTCTATCCTAATTCCAGAGAACATGTTTTGGCATCATGTGCAAACTTTTGGTGTGATTGGTATCTGGACACTTATGTAGACTTGCTGGTGACTTACTGAAACCATCCTGTACGTGATCACATATCTCCCCCTTTTAATTGCTGTACTGGACATGTTCCTACACCACATCACATTCTAACCAGCTACCAAGGAAATAACCTAGTGGTTTTATCTCAAAACTTAAAACTTATCTGAGACAAATATGCCATCCATTGGATGTTAAGATCAGTTTAAATTGATAATACTAATATAGGCTTTCTTTCTAATCATTGAAAACACTTAGGGAGACAATAACAAGGCATATTGTGTAGGCTTTGAAACAACATACAGATGAAAAATCACCCCCACACGTGAAGGTCCTGAGTCCAGGAAGTTAAAAAAATCATATTAAGTAACAAGATGGTTTGATCCATGGTGGCAGAAGTTACAAAATAGTGCTCTGCTAATCATAGGACCAATCAATCAAAATGCCTTCTAAAAAGATAACACGTCAGAATGCACAAAAACATTCCTGTGAAATAGCTCTGGACCACAAAGCATCTTGCAATATCTGACATTATACCTCAAGTTTTATGATATTTAGTGGCCTGTGGCAACATAATTACTGTATGGCAAATTCAAGAGCATGTAGAGAAGAAAGAGATCATACTTGACAGAGATGAAAAATGTATCTGTGGCCTATGTTATTTTAAGGAAAATGTGCCACTATAGTTCCCCCTAAAAAACAGGTGGACTAGTAAATTATGAAAAAAATTGCATAAAAACCAGATGAGTGAGGTGAACACCTCCATGATGAGCACACTCCGAGGAAGGGCTTCTGTTGGAGAACAGGCAGAGAAGAAGCCAGGATGTGTGGTCAGTATAGAGCTTGTCAGTTTCCACTTTTTATCCCTTAAAAACCCATCAGTGAAATAGATGTACAACTCTAGAATGCAAATATGTGATTGCACATTCAACACGAGAAACAAGTAAAGCAACAGAAAGGATCTATAGTGTGTCTTGAGTGGTCAAAGAGTGCTTTCCCGACTTTAGTTTTCTGTCCTTACCTAAATGCGTACAGAGACTCATTGTCATTGCAATGGACAGAACGTCTTCCATCAAAAATGAAACTGCACATCTAGCTATGGATTTAAGCAAGCACAGCAGTGTCGCTCTGAAGGGTGATATAGGAACGGAACCAGGGCATTCTCATTATAGTATGTATTAGGAACTGACCCTGGGAGGGAGCTACTTACCGTCCTCTTACGTTTCCTAGCTTGTGTTTCCAACAAACCATTTCAATGAGAACCTTCTACCCTGTGGGTTTTTCACGATCTGTTTCTTGTGGCAAACAAGCAACTGGCTCATGATTTCTATGTTAAACTCTTCCCTCTCTGGTGCTATCTGGCTTCTGCTGAAGAGTTCCTCCAGCTCACAGTCTGAAAAGAGCCTACTGGGTGTTGTTTGAGCACAGTCAACCCTAGACCCCAACTGTTCCCTCTGCTCTCTCGCACATGCGCTGCAGGATCCGGTGGATACTGCAGAAGCTGGGTCTGTCTGCTGGCAGCTTGCTCCAACACAGGCGCATGAGGTTGTACAGTTCCAAGGGGCAGTTCTCGGGGCAGGAGAGGATGTTGCCATCTCTCACATAGTAAATGACCTCCTCATGGGCCATCCCATAGTAGGGCTGCAGGCCATAGGAGAAGATCTCCCAGAGGACCACACCATAGGCCCACACATCTGATTCCGTGGTGTAGCGGTTGTAGAAGATGGACTCGGGTGGCATCCAACGGATAGGGATGGCATCGTTTTCATTAGCTTTGTAGTAGTCTGCAGAGTAGATGTTCCTGGAGAGGCCAAAGTCTGCAATTTTCACCACCATGTTCTCCCCGACCAGGCAGTTCCTGGTGGCTAAGTCCCGGTGGACAAACTTGCGCTCGGAGAGGTAGGCCATACCAGCTGCCACTTGCCTGGCAATGCAGAGCTGTTCTGCACAGGACAGTGGTGGAGGACCGGGGCTGGACATCCGAGCCTTCGTGGACAGGTCACTATGGCTGAGGCTGCATACAGTGTGAGGGGACATGCTACGGAGGAACTCATTGAGGTCACCATAAGCCATGTACTCAAAGAGCAGACACATAGGCTTTCCTACCGCACACACGCCTGCAATCAAAATAATACCTTGGTTAAGCTGAGTCTTTCCACAAGGAAAGAGCACTCCAAAATCAAAGGACCAGACAGAAAAGATGAGGTCCTGCTTTTAAGGGACAACATTAGTCATACTGTGAGCCCCACTTCTTTGCTTAAACATGTTATCTGGTAAGATTTGATCTATTTCTTCTCTTTCTAGGATGTCTCAATTCCTGACCCCTTGATTCTTAAAATTTCCTTCTATTATCTTTTCTTTCCACATAGTACCTACTGTGGGATAATGTTCTTGTTCACTGTGAAGATTTGTCACTCTTAATAGTTTAGTAAAACAATGATTGACTAGTAGCCACGTAGGAAGTATAGGTGGGGCTACCAGACTAGGAGAATTATGGGAAGAGGAAGGCAGAGATGCATCCAGATGCAGAGGAAGCAAGATGAGAATGCCTTAATGAGAAAAGGTGCAAAATCTCGTGGCTAAACATAGATAAGAATTTTGGGCTAAAAGAAGCACATTCATTCAACAAGGACATCTGTTCAATGATGTTCATAGCAGCACTATTTGTAATAGCCAGAAACTGGAAGCAGCCTAGATGCCCCTCAACCGAAGAATGGATAGAGAAAATGTGGTACATTTGCGCAATGGAGTACTACTCAGCAGAAAAAAAAACAATGGAATCTTGAAATTTGCAGGAAAATGGATGGAACTTGAAGAAACCATTCTGAGCGAGGTAACCCAATCACAAAAAGACAAACATGGTATATGTACTCACTCATATGTGTATTTTAGACATAGAGTAAGGGATTACTAGCTTACAGTCCATACTGCCAGAGAAACTAATAAACAAGGAGGACCCTAAAAGAGTCAAACTTTGTCCCCTGGAGAAGGGGAAAGGGTCACGATCCCCTGAGCAAATTGAGATCATGGGAAGGGGGGGGAGGGAGCTACCAGATTGAGAAGGGAAGAAGAGGAAGGATGCAGAGGTCATGAGGGAGCAGAAAGGTTGAGTTAGGTATAGATTAGAAGAAAGGATATGTGATAGGTAAGGTTTTAGTTGGGGGGAGGGGTGGAAGGGGAGAAGGGAGGGAGAAGGGAACTGGGATTGTCATGTAATTCAATCTTATTTGTAATTCAAATAAAAATGATTTAAAAAAGGCCAAAAAAATTATGGATTAATTTAAGTTGTAAGAGCTTGTTAGTTATAAGCCTGAGCAATACACCACATAGTTTATAATTAATATATGCCTCTGTGTGTTTGTTTGGGACTGAACAGCTGCAGGACCAGGCAGGACAAAACCTACCACCTTACTTCATACACATCCATTGTATTAGTGATGTAACACTATTTCTTGGGCCGGAAAGATTATGCCCTGTTTCTTCAAATCTCTCAGACTGACCAGGTGTCTGGAGAGAAGGTGCACAGTAACATATGGCAATCGGATTCAGGAATGTGTGATGTAATTGTTCTGTTTAGTTTTCTGAACAAGAAATATCTACCACATTTAGGAAGAACAATAAAAAAGACCCCAAGATTCTTAGAGGAACTTTTTAGGTGGCTGTAGTAAAATAGTTTGAAATTTAGATTTTTATCATTGGTGTTCATTCTATACAGTAATGTTCATACAGTGTCAGGAAGACACTTGAAAAACCTTAGCATCTTACTATATTCGAGAAATTAATGTATAAACTCGTACCATTAAATCTGATGAGCATAATCTCACATCACAATAAAAACTAGATTGTCAGATTTATTTTTTTCAGGGAAAAATTAGAAGTTTCAGTTTGAAAGAAAGAAGAAAAATGAGGGCCTTTTCTAATTATAGTTGTAATTCGAAGGATTTTAGCTGACAGTGTATTGTTACAATAAATCTTTCTGCCAAAGCCACCCGAGCCTTACCGCCATGTGGGCAGTCTCCGCCAGCCGCCTGAGTTCTGCCCTTGGCGTGGAAGGACAAAATAATACACAGACTTATATTAGGTACAAATGCTGCTTGGGTCAATGACTAGGATTCTCATCTGTTAGCTAAGTCTTAATTATCATAAATCTATATATTTTATAAGACTTATCTTATCAGACACCTTCCATTGGTGTCCCTCCTTGCCGGTAGATCACATTGTGCCGCTAGAGGAAGAGTAGAGGGGAAAAAGGGACACTTGCTGTTTCATCTTGCTTAAATATGAGTTTCCTTGCTATGTCACTTCCTGCCTGGATCACCACTTCTCTGCTACATTTCCCAGAATCCTCTTTGACTCCTAGTCCTGTCTAACTTGCTGTCTCATTGGCCAAACAGAACTTTATTTATCATCCAGTAAGACAAACACAGACACAGAAGCACTTCCCCCATCAGTGTATAGATTAAAGAGGAAATCAAATGTTGGTCACATTCTGCTGTCCCTCCTACACGATCTTCTTTGGGTCTTTGTCAACAATCATTTACCTGTATCATCAAGTAGCTTTACTGTTGCTATGTTAGTTAAATTGGTTTGGAAAGAATTCTTACATTAGGAAGCTCAAGAAAACATTTTCCTCTCAAGGAAAAAATGTGTGTGTGTGTGTGTGTGTGTGTGTGTGTTTTTTTTGTGTGTGTGTGTGTGTGTAACATAGTCTAATGACTGTCCTCAGACACACTTTGAGCTAACTGTGACATTGAACTCTTGATCCTTCTTCTTCTACCTCCAATTACTATAGGCAGTATGTATGTTAGTACTTGTTGGGTAATAAATTTAAGAGAAACTTATTGATGATGAAGAAACACACTTGCCAGTAACCACAAGTCAGTGCATTGTACCTGGCTTGAGTCAGAATCAACACCAGGAACAGGGAATGCTGTAAAATTGCAGACACACATATGAATACAGTCTAATTTAAGGAACACTTCAAATTCCTTTGCAGCAAAAAAAGTCTCCCTCAGGTTCTCATTGTGGATCATTGTCAAAGGCTTTCAAGTTACACAAAATTTAAGAAGCAAAATAGCTATCTTTCTCTTTTTAGTACCTCTTTTTAAGCTCTATTGCTGTTTTCTGAGCCTGATCAGTGCTGAATAGGAAGTTTAAACCAATATAGTAGGAGGGATCTGGCCTTCCTAATGTATTCTCTGCACTTCCAGATGGTTCAAGCTCATAACACTTAAATGAATGTCTTATTGATATCCTCACTCCAGAATTCAACAAAACCTAAATAAAATGTGTGGTCTTCTCCTTGTCTGTCTTCCTTGTTGCACAATTCACATTTGCTCTATCAAGGGATTATTTGGCTCTGCCTTTGAATTGCACACAGACCCCAGTCCCTTCTTCTCATTACCTCACCATTTCTCCTGACCCATGCCAACATCTTCTTTTTCTGTGTACTGAAAGACCCCATTCACTGTCTCCTTGTTTTCATTGCCTTCCCTTCAACTCTGCTTAGCAAATCAGTCAGAGACATCCTGGGGAAAATGTGGATCATGTCATGCCATGGCCTGGCACTTTTTGGCTCAGACTTTCCATTTGATTCCCATTTTACTTACAGTAAGTCAGGGTTTTTTTCTTTAATTCTTGAGATTCTACTATAGTTACATCATTTCCTCTTCTTTACTTTCAAATTTATTCATTTCAAATTCACAGCCTCTTTTTCACTAATTGTTATTTTACACACACACACACACACACACACACACACACACACACACCATACATAGGGCTAAATAATGTAATGCCTGGTCAGTCTGTATGATGTTATTTGTATGTATATTGTCAAGGCTGACCATTTGATATTGGATAAGAGTTGGTGAGCTCTTCCCTGAGGAAGACTATTTCTCCCACTCTCAGTATTCTTTAGTTCTTTGTGTGAAGGCCTTGCATGATCTCCCAACTACCCCACTGCACTTACCATGGGATATAGTCTTACATAACTCTCTCAAACCATCCCCATCACTTTTTATTCTGTCTCTGTCTCTGTCTCTGTCTCTGTCTCTGTCTCTGTCTGTCTGTCTCTCTCTCTCTGAGTGTGTGTGTGTGTGTGTATACACAAGTTTATGTTTGTGTGTAAGAGTATATGTGTGTATAGATATGTCTGCACATGTATGTGTATGAGTATAGACACCAATGTCAATTGCTTACTTGCTCCCCACTTTAATTTCTTGAGACAGAATCTCTCACTGATCCTGGAGCTCACCAATCCTGTTATGAAGGTTGGCTTCAAGTCCCAGAGATCTTCTTGTCTCTACTTCCCCAGTGTTGGGACTTACAAACATGTGTCACCATACCCAGGCTTTACGTGAGTGCAGGATATCCAAAGGCAGGCCCTCATGTTAGTGCAGTGGGTGCCATGCACAGAGCACCCTCTTCCCAGCCCAGTCTGGTGTTCTCTAAGGACTAGATAAGTTTTCCATGGGGCCTGTGCAGGAGTGTCTCATTCTCCAGTCTATCCACTCTGCCATTCTCTTACACAAATGTCATATGTCCACTGAAGTCTTCAAAGATAGTATCTCATATTCCAAACAGTCTTCCTTGACTTTGAGTTTTAAAACAAGTCAGAGGCATATAGGCCACATTTACACATGTTTACTCCTGCTGGCTCCTGAAAAGAACGTAAGCTTCACAAAGCCAGACAATGTTAACATGTTTATTTATTTCTATGTAATTATATAAACTAGTCAGTGAATACTTGTTAAATTTATGGATCTGTGATGAAATGGGGACACAACAATGAACAAAAATATGATTTAAATCGTAATGTTCTGATTTAAGAAAAGATAAAATGGACAAATGAGATATTCATATTTTTAGACCTTATGATGGTGAACTAATAAATAATTTTGTGATGGTGAATTATTGTCAAGGAAATTTTCTTCATGTGGAGACACTTGAAAAAATTTCTAACCAGAAAAGAGGCAGCAATGACCAAGACAGTCAGAAGTGATGGAATTAAAGGAAGCAGAGTGTGCTGAAAGCTGGGGTAGAAGGTGTGTCAGGAAGTAGATGAAGCAGCTAAACTGGGAAAGGAAGAGAGAGAGACATATCCCACATACCAGGGAGAGAGACCAAAGAATAAATAAGTGAAGTATGAAGGAAGAAAAGCTTAGGAAACCTCTTTGCCGATGAACAATTTTTCTGCAGTTGCATTTCCATACCTAAGAGCTTCACGATGTTGGGGTTGTCAAACTCTGCCATGAGGGCTGCTTCCCTCTGAAAGTCAGCTTGCATGTCTGCCGAGGCCTCCTCCTTGAGCATCTTCACAGCCACCATAGTGAAGGGTTCGTAAGGAAGTAAGCCTGGAGCCCTGAGAGATAAACCAAAGACGGGGATGTTTATATCCCTTGATTGTATTTACTCACATTTATATAGCCCATCACCAGGCTTATGCAGCCTTTTCAGAGCCACAAACTGAAGGAAGATGACACAGTAAGTCATGCTTAGACTTCTGTATGCCAATTAGGAAATCCACTAGTTATTTTCAATATAGATTATGTTTGACAATGCATTGTTTACCAACTAGAAGATACACACACACACACAGAGATAGATAGATAGATAGATAGATAGATAGATAGATAGATAGATAGATAGATAGGAGTCCTAACATTTAAATTATAATCCCCTACTGATTAGCCTGAATCTAAATTTTTTGAGGGCTGAGACTAGGGCTGACTGCTTTTATGTTCCCCCCATAGACTAAAATTGCATTTTGTCAATCTCGCAGTAAGTGTGTGAGACTTTCCATTTTAAATGTAACCCCAATATCAAGGCTACTTTAAGTGGAAGCAGGGCTATGCTTGCTTAAGTTCAAGACTGTCACTGGTGATTAAATCCAACTGCATATCTTGTTGCCCACTTTGTATCTGTAGAGCTGCGTCCACACAGAATGGGTATTTTATTCCATTTCACACAAAGTCGAGAAATGAGCTATGATTGACGGTAATATACACCTCTTTCTTGAACTCAGTGATTTTAGAATATTTACATTTTCCTTTCTGTTTTGTTACTCCATGGATGTCTATTTAATGTCTACAGAAGTCAAATTCTGAGTTTTAAACACTAATTCAAAGGAAACGTTAAATGAAGCAGAGAACAATAGAAAGAAGAAAAGGAAGTAGTAAATAAGAATTACTACTAAAGCAATGTAAGAAATTATGACTAAAATGTATAGAAAATTATTTTCTAGAAAGGAAATATGGTTGAATTACTAGTAACTTCTTGTAAACTGCTCATTGTATTTCCCCTGTAAATTACAAATTTAAATACAGCACATTACATTCTTTCTAGGTATACTATTTTTAGTAAAAAAAAAGGGGGGAGGGCAGTATTAAGATTTACAATAAAGCATGTGGTGTCAGAGAGATGTCTCAGAGCACTGACTGATTTGAGGAACCACACAGTGGCTCACCTTCATCTGTAACTCCAGTTCCAGAGGATCCAATGCCCTCCTCTGACCTCTGAGGGCATTGCACCTACATAGTACAATATATACATGCAGGCAAAACATCAACCCATGTAAAATAAAAAAATAAATATTCAAAAATAGCATTCTGATGGGGAATGTATTACTGTGTATGTTTATCTTATTGATTGTTAAATAAAATACTGTTTGGCCAATGAGATAGCAAGTTAGACGGAACTAGGAGTCAAAGAGGATTCTGGGAAATGTAGTAGAGAAGTGCTGATCCAGACAAGAAGTGACATAGCAAGGAGACTCATATTTAAGGAGAAACAGGAAGGGCCCCTTTTTTCCCTTCCTCCTCCAATGGCAGGATGTGATCCACCGACAAGGGGGGACGCCAATAAGGCATCTGATAAGATAAGTCTTATAACATATATAGATTTATGATAGTTAAGACTGAGCTAACAGATGAGGAATCCTAGTCATTGGCCAAACAGCTTTAAACCTAATACAAGTTTCTATGTATTTATTTGTGCCTAACTCGGGCAGGCGGCTGGCGCAGAGCGCACACATGGTGGTGGGGCGCAGCAGCTTTTGACAAAAAGATTTATCGTAACAGCATTCAATACAAACAAATGATATAAAGAAATAAGTAACTTGATAACAGTTTTATACACAGCAGATCAGTATAATGATCTAGCAATTTGTCAAGGATAGTGAATTTCAACAGAGATTCCTCCTTGCCCCCCATGTTTAATTTTACCTTGCTTGAAAGACCCTTCCGAATGCTCCCTCTCCAATGTCTCTGACATATTCAATGTTATTTCTGGGATACTCCAGGCTGAGCAACTTGGGATTCAGAAGGAGTGGCATCCTCTGGTACATGGGGTTGGGATGGAGTCTGTCCAGTAGGAGCTCAGAAGGCAATGTGGTGAGGGTCACTGCTGCTGACTCTCTGTGGGTGAGAGAGGCAAGATCAAGAATGACCTTTGACCTAGATCCTTAAGGATATTTAGAAATACATAGAGTATATAATACTAAGACAGCCGAGGATTCTTGGGCTTGAGAACAATGAAGTATATTGCTTGGTCTCCAGTCAAGAGGCACACTTTGTCACTATACATGTCAGTAGCAGCAGTGAGAGAAGACAGAGTAGCCATTTGCATCAATGCTTAAGTTTTCTCTGTCGTAGAAACCGACTTAGGTAATTCGACCTTTTTAAAGTTCAAGGTAGGGGTGTATAATTTTAAAACCAGGGTATGAATATTAGTGAGGCAATGGTGGTGTGATAGATACTCCTCTTATAATCACCAATTCCAAAACTGAGTATGTGGGTCATGAGGCAAAACTTGTGATGGGCTTCACCTGGAATCTCACCTTTTCTTATTTTTCCACTCTTTCCTTCTTCGGCAGCAGTAAAGAGTAGCGATGGTAAGAAGAGCAAAAATGGCAAAGCTGGACATGATAGAGATGATGAGAGTCATGGAGTATGCAGGCGAGACAGCCAAGGAAGAGGTGGAAGAAGGCATATTTGGAATGTCCACACTTGGCTTGGAGGATGTTATTGATGGGAATGCTGCAAGGAAACAATAGTACTTTTTGCTTATTTTAGAACCTTTAAAAAGAACTTTTTGTACTGAAGCACTCACTACCACAGTGCTAAGAATATGCTAGTGTATCAGGATCTCCTCAGTTATCTGTCTATAGAGTCTACTATTAGGAATCCAATAAGGTTCATTTGCAAGGAAGAGGAGACTCAGAGGAGAAATACACTTTTTTTCTAAAAGAAATGTAAGCCCCAGGCTTAGGCTTCCTATGTGCTATCTGTGACTGACAGCACTTGGAAAATTATGCACTAAAAATATTTTCACACAATGAGACTGAAGGTGAGAACTCTCAGCCGAGCTTGTGTGTGTGCGTGTGCGTGTGCGTGTGCATGTACGGGTGTGTGCAAGTGCACCTGTCTGTGTCTGTGTGTGACAGGAAGAAGATGAAAAATGAAGCCACTGGAACATAAATGAGCAGAAGTCAACTCATCTGAAACTTGAACTCTTGTCAAACTCCCATTTAAAAGGCCAATGAAAACAATAGACTGCATTTGTGCTGAAATCAGCAGATGCTACTTGCTGCTTGTCAGTCTATGGTGGACATAATTAAACAACCTTGTTGTGAATACCTTGAAATCTTCTTTGTAAAGTGAGTAAAGACAAAAAAACCATGGAAACAGATATTTTACACACAACCAAAAAGTCTTGACAGGTAAGAATCAACTTTGTAGCCTAAAAGAGATGATTTCTTCAAATACCTGGGGAAGACTGATAGATGTGGCTGATGTCAAGCCACAAAGATAAACCTCAGTAAATGTCAAAAGCATAAATTATAGAGCTCTGTTCTCTGTTCTCACCCAAAATGCATATAATGAGAGATTAAATAAAATCCAACAGGATGACTAAGAGAAAGAAAGATCTGTACCTTTTCTGAATAAAAAGTTTGAAGTAGCCACAGTTATAGAAAACAAAAGTCTTTTTGTTTTTTGGTTTTTTTATTATTATTTTATTTTGGTTTTCAAGACAGTGTTTCTCTGTGAAACAATCCTGGCTGTCCTGAAACTCACTCTGTAGACCAGGCTGCCTTGAAACTCACTGAGATACACCTCCTCTGCCTCCTGAGTGCTGGGATTAAAGGTGTATGCCACCACCACCTGGCTCAGAACACAAAAATTGTGGTGGTATGTATGAAATTTGCCTAAAACTGCATTCATTGATAAACTCATGTTTTTATCTCCTGTTACACATGATGAAGAGAATGAATGGAATTGAGACTGTAGACAAGCAACAGTAACTCTTGAGAACAAAAGGGAAATGGGACACAGGATACCATAAGCAAGCAGAAGTTACTAAGTGAGACTGCACATACCACAAATGACAGAGATGAGTAAAGTTTCCAGTCATTTAAATATTTAGAACATGGTTTGATGAGTGGAATTTTAATTGGAAAAAGACAAGAAAGCCACATGTGTAGCAATTAAGAAAAGTTATCTCAACAAATTCAAAGATCAATAAAAACAAAATAGTACATAATTATGTACCACATTTCAAAATCTTAGAGAAATGATAGGAAAACGTAGTTACCAAATATGAATAAAAATATATGAGTAGAACCATAGGCAAGAATTTTTTTTTTTTTTTTTTTTTTTGGTTTTTCGAGACAGGGTTTCTCTGTGACTTTGGAGGCTGTCCTGGAACTAGCTCTCCTAGACCAGGCTGGTCTCAAACTCACAGAGATCCACCTGCCTCTGCCTCCCTAGTGCTGGGATTAAAGGCATGTGCCACCACCACCCGGCTGCAAGAAATTATTTTTAAAACCATTGTTTAATGACAATCACACTCTTTGAGACTTGAGAGAGGTAAAAGTCTAATTATCACAATATGTCCTATCTAGAGAACACTTTTAATGCATTAAGGAAGCTATAGTGCTAGTATGCAACCCAGATATATTAGCATGAAAAGAAAAGGTACACACCGATTATCTGAAAGAGATTTAGAAGGGCCTAAGTGAGTAATTGCTGACTGATCCCAATACAGTGAGAAAATATAGGTTTCACAAGCAGGAAGATATTAATACAAAAAAATCAAAAACACAAAAGAAAGCTATATTTCAACAGGAGCCAAATACATTTGGAAAAAGGCATTTTTTATGTGAAGATTATAGGAAGTGCCTGTCTGCTTTCTTAGTTTGTAGTGGGGGCAGCTCACGACTGCTGGCTGAACAAAAGAAAACCTTTAATACATAGGGTGCCCAGGGCCATTTGAAACACAGCATTCGTGAAGGCGTAGGTTATAAGGGGTATTTCTGAATGACTGCTAGTCTAGGAGTGGAAATAGTGAACACCCCTGCCCACCCATGACTAAACAAGTGGTTTTGAACTGTAGAGGTCAAGCTTGGTCATTGCTGTGTCTCAGGAAGGCATATAGGGCAGAAAGACCTTCAGTACAGCAGTAAACATCTGCATGAGATTGATGGACACTTGCCTTATTAAGGATCGGCGTGGTGGGATGAGACTTCCCAGGTTCTAACACTGGTCCACAGTCACTCCCACATTTTTCAATCCAAAGGGAGCCTTAAAAGAGTCAGCTAAACTCCTCATTCTAAATACAGTAAGAGATCACTACTAAAACATACAGACTAAAGTCTATTTTTATTCATGGATTTTACAAAGGTGTTCATAAATTATATAATCTGTGAATTTGATATGATATAATCAGGAAATATATGGGTAGTTTTCTTCTAAAAAAATCAGAAAATTGGTGTGGTGGATAAGGACTTTGCTACACAAGAATGAGGATGGGAGTTTGGATTTCCAGAGCCCAGTGAGAAGATAGTGACATCTGAAGCTATGTCTATGGCAGCCATATGTATGATCCTCAACTGACACCAGGTATGTCTGTGACTTAATCCGGACAGCCAGCTTGCAAAATTCTGAAAAACAGACTTCCATGGCTTACAAGCTCTCCTATTGTGCTTTGTTATTGTATCCTAATAGACCAAAGCCAACATAACGGCATAGGGGGCATTACAAGAGTTGAGTGGAATGAGGGTGGGGAGATAATGCTTTACCAAGAAGAAATACATGTCCTGGGTTGGAACCAAGCTGTTGTACTTCTCCCAAAGTGCACATCAAAGTTTCATTGCTGCAGATGAGAGTTTCTACAGATAATGCAGATATCATCATTGGGTCATTAGAAGGTCTCATGTGCCCAGGGGAGTTATTTGGCCTTTGCCCTGCAGCAAGTGGAGAAAAAAACACAGGAGGGCTTCAAGCGGTGCAGCTGCAGTGATTGGTCAACTTTGTGCATTAGAATGATGTCTCAGCTGCATCCTGATGTCTATGATGTCTATGATGTCTATGTCTATGATTCCCACCAGGCCTGATCTCTGCCTCCTAACAGGACCTCCTAAGTAAGGAGCCAGAAAGAGATGTCTGATGCACACCATTGGACAGGATTACTACTGGACACTCACCACTGATAAAGAGAAAATCTGAAAGCCTCTGCCCAGACAGAACCCCCCTCTCCCCCACTCACAGCCAGACTCATTAAACTATGCACTTTCCAAACTAGAAGCTAGAAAAGATACAATTACATCTACAGGATGGTTAGGGAAATACAATGCCACTCAAGACCTTCCCATCATGCTACTTCATCTCAGTTCTCACGGTAAGAAAGGACTATTGGATACTATTCATTACCTCAGTGATTCACTCTCATGACCTCCTTTGAGGAAATACATAAAACATTTAACTGAAGACCAACTGAATCTGAAAGAGACTTCAAGACAAGAATAAAGAGTAATAATAAAAACATGTATTTTTTTAACCTAAATAGATAATGGTGACATGACTGGCAACTCTGTTACATTCTCTAAATAAGAATCCAGAGAGAGTCCTCTGCAAGGAAAACTAAATGCCAGAGAAACAAAGAACAAGAAAAATGTATTCTGAGGTGTTCACTGGTTGGCAGAATGAGTAATGGGAAGAAAAATCTAGGATCTGGCTTTCATAGGACAGTGGAAAAATAACTAGCCAAAAATAAGTCAAAATCGAGTCCTAGGAACCTTCCTGTGCCTGCCTCTCCAACACTGGTATTATAGTGTATGCCATCCCAGTTATCTTTCACATGGTGCCAGGGCTTGAACTTCCATCATTGTGCTTGTACAACAAACACTCTACATTTGAGTTGCCCTCTCCCAAAGCTTGTAGAGAGAGATGATTAGGCAATTATCATGAGTTTATTCAACACTAATGAAAGAACATGCCTTAACCACAGACAATACTGTATTCTAGTTTTCACTGGATCACCTTCTGTCTACTGCATTCAGTTTGGAACAACCCATCATCCTCCTACTGCAAGAACAGGGCAGACATGAAGGTAAGGGCTTTGGAACTCAGCTGACAAAAGAAAATGTTGGAAATTGGGGACATTTAATGGAAAGAGGAAAAAACTACGAGGAGATAGGGCATGTATCTCCATGTATTTTAAAGTCTGTGCTATAGAGGGTGAGCCAAAGGATTGGAAAAAGCACCAGCTATTAGAAGCTATAGAGGCCCAAGTTCAGTTCAACATGACTGAAATTAAAGGAGTGAATTCAAACCAGGAGAGGGAATGTCTGTGGAGACAATGCCGAAGGTGTTCTCCCCATGGGAGAAATCACTTCCAACTCTATTTCTGTGTATTTCTAGCTTTTCCATCCCCATGAAACAAACCCAATCAACATTTCAAATGATTAAATGATTAAAATATTAGCTCTTTGCAAACTCTCCTCTCCTCCCTCCTTCCATCCCCCCCATTTCATTTATGGCTAATATAATAGCTGAGCATTATGGAAACTGAATTTTAGAAGCAAAGCATACATTTATTGTCAAGTTGTCTGGATGATTTAGAATTAGGGACATTGTGGTCAATGGGAGCTAATCACTCATTAGGGAACATGAAAAATCATCAGCATCTTTTTTAGAAGGAATCTGTTAGAACAACCAGGCCAACTTTTCATGTGAGGTCTTGGAAATGTAAAAAGAAGGTAATACAGAAGCTTTAGCTGTAACAATTTAAAACTTAGACACTGATGATTGAGCCAGAATCAGATAGACTGGGGCTTGAGTACTGGCTTAACCTCACACAACATAGGTAACGGGGGAGGGGGCAAATAGGTTGACCTTTTTCATACCCACTAGTATATAGAATGGAGCGTGTTAATGGCACCTACTTTCACAGGACTGTTGGGGGACTTATGAGAGACTGTGAGCCACCACACTAATCAGTTTGTCAGGATTGGGCTACATAGCCATTCACTCTTCTGGTGCATGAGTGGTAAGAGAAAAGTTGGAAAGGACAAGAGGGTGGAAGAGATGCAGTTCTCTGTTACCAGAATAAGCCAGATTGCATTTCTTTTCTACAGAAGCTTTGAAACAGAAGACAGGCTCACTGCTGAGTGTGCCTGGAAGGTATGTGAAATCCCACAGAAGAGACAAACAGTATGCTTAGCACAGAGTAATGTAAATATGGCAAAGTCGTGCGTGTTCAAGGACATATTTAACTTCAGCAGAAGATGGTATTAAAATAAAACAAACCCAGAAACTGCTGAAATTCTAGTTCCCATGTAAAAAACAATGCAAAGATAAAGAAGAATTTAAATTTTTTTCAAATGCTTCTCAAAGTAAACTAGAAATGATATTTGAAATTTACTAAGGAACCATGAAGCTGGCCCAGCAAGATGGCCGTGTGTAAAGGCATTTAACAGTGAGCCTGGTGAACTGAGTTTGAGTCCCAGGATCCATATGGTAAAACTGACTCCTGACTCTTACAAGATATATTCTGGCCTGTACACACACACACACACACACACACACACACACACACACACGCAAGCACGTACATGCACACTAAGTAAGTAAATAAGTGCAATAAGATCTTTTTAAAAAAGAAATCATAGAACGAGCAATATTTGAGGCCTTAATACATTCCTATGGAACACAAGTTGGTGTGTGTAATCAGGACAGTTTCCTTGCTAGAATTAATCTACTATAAGATAGCAGAGAAGACTACTTGCTCAGAGAGCACATACATACCCCCCCTAAATGTAGAGAAAATGATCCCGTTACAAGAGCTGGAGCTAATTGTCTCAAATGATCTCATAAAATTGTTTTCTAAAGACAAGGAAATTAGTATCTGTAGCTAGTTTGTGCTTCTGAATATCTAACTTGCAGCAGCTATTTCTCTCCTTCATGTGGGTCCCAGGGATTGACCCATCAGGTTGAGCAGCAAGTGCCTTTGCCCTTCGATCTGCCTTGCTGGCCCTCCAGATGACCCTTTTAAAATGATTTCTGTGAACATTGCAAACACAATACTGAAAAGTGGCTATCCTAAAGCAATGACAACAATAAAAAGCAACCAACCAAACAAACAAAAACCAATACTTGTTCTATTTCACAGTCAGAGGACAGTATGCTTTATTAAGATAAGAAAGGATTTTGAGTTTTTTGGTTTTCTTTTTACCCCCCCCCCAATGGTAAATGGGTAGATGAGGAGAGAGGCAAATCTGCGTTATTTGAACATAATGCAGGAATTAAACTATGACACAATACTCCTCAAATATGTCCAATTTTATGCATCAATTTAAAAAATTAAGAGGAATCTCAAATCTCAGATTGCACTCCACACCAAATACACCAGAATATCTATGTGGGGGACCCAGATAGCTATGCTTTTTGATGCTTTCCAGCTGATGTCAGTGTGTAGAATGGATGAAGAATTACTCTGAGCCAGGGCAACATCTGCAATTCCAGAAGAATAGAAAGCTTGAGGCTAGCCTGAGCTACTTAAAGTGATAATGTCTAAAAACATCCAGTATTTAGGACACAGCTCAGATGGAGAATGCTTGTCTGACAGTGGATTTGTTCCTCACCCCTCCCAAATACCTGCTATATTTGAGCACCTTGTAAGAAGCATAGAAATTTCTAATTCTTCACACAACAACAATGGAACAAATTGGTCTTGATGGTTTGATTTTTAAAGGACACGAAGCTGGGTGGTAGGGAAGGGAGGTGGGTCTGGGAAGAGTTGAGTAGAGAGGTTTATTAAATGAATGAATATTATCAAAATATGTTGTGTGAGAGTCTGAAAGAGCTACTAATAAATAAACACAAGACAATGAGATTCCAATGACATACTAAGAACTTTCTGTTACCAGTAGAATGATTAATTTTAGAATTAAAACAAAATATGCTGAAAAGTAGGATTATAGATGATTCATTTCCTTTTCATTTTCCTCCCCTGGTCCAAATGACAAGAGGTTCTATAGTTAATATAGAATTTGCATATAAAAATTAATATAGAATTTGTGTAAAAAAGAAGACTAGGAAAAAAGAAGAAAAAAAGTACACCTATTCTCAAAAAAAAGATTTGTTGCAAATGAAGATCACAAAACAGGTCAATAGAGAAAAAATAGTACTTGTTTCTATCCAAAAATAATTACGTAATACAAAATTGTCGCTGCAGAATCAGAAGTCTTCGTTTAAACTTGGCCGATTTTGCAAACATATGAGGCAGACCATCTTGAGGAAGGAGATAGCATTTGTTCCATTCACTAAGAGTCACGTTCTCTGTGTTCTACTTAGAAGCTATAAGCCGGGGGAGGAGATGAGCCCGGCCACTGAGTGGGGGTGCTAATGATGTTCAGTACATTCTGTTCTGGATACGGGGCAGTGTAATGTAAATATACATGCACGAATCCACTCACAGACACAGAAGATTTCAGAGGCACAAACGGAATTACTTACTTGTTATGTTTTCTTTTTTATAATCTGAGGGGGAAAGGATAAAAATTGGTTTTAAGTAAGCGTTATCTCCTAGATCCTCGAGCTACCGCTAAGAAATGCGACTTTCCCTGCCAGCATTTAAACAAGTGACAGAAAAGCATTCAAATGTCAAGAGCGCATCTTTGAAATTAAACCAGCTGTTAGGGGAACTTTATCCTTACAAATGAAATTCATACGGCACCATGCAGGGGCTCGGTATTGTTTTGTGAGGTCAGCGTTTACGAACATGTGGCTTGTTTTCTGCATGCTTAAAAAATCCGCAACGTTGGCTAAGAAAGAGGATTATTTATTCCTTTACGCCATTCCTCTGACAAACTAAGAGATGTTTCTTAGCCATTTTCCCATACATCCCAGAATATGTTACACTCACAGGATCCTCTATGAAATAAAGCAAGACCCAAGCAGCGGTTAAACGTGCCCTTTGATTTATCTGACAACAAATGAAATGCATCTTCATGTTAACCTATATCATTAGGGTAGCATTAGGATTCTGCTATTATGTCTGTGGAGATGGCAAAGCGAAAAACATTAGAACAGCCTAGAAAGCCTAAAAATGTTAGGAGCCTTAAGTACACACCTTACTTGACTCAAAACAGTAAATTTTCCTTAACTTCCGAAGTCTGGAGGGAATTCTTTGTTACCTAAATATGGCAGTCTTGTGCAGGACATCGGGTCCCGGTGCATGCTGGGAAGCTTGCTGCAGTCTGGCACCGGGAGGAGATGCATCCCTGAGCTGAAGAGTCCTCTGTGGGTCTTTCCTTCCATCGCCAGCCATTCCTTTGCACAGAACAGCTCCTTTACTGCCAAGCAGTACTCTCTGAAATGTTGAAAGGAGGGCAAGACTTGATGAATCACAACTAGTTAAAGACAAATCTTCAGTGAGGCTTAAACTTTGTATTTTTGAAACACTGTCACATCGTAGTGTCTTTGTTTACAAAAGTATTTTTGAAATGATTCTTTTTGGACATAAATAATGCAAGACATTATAAGATATAATGTACTATACTGTGAGATGAATTACTATCTTGTTTAGTTTTTTTTTTTTAATTTAGAATGAATTAGGTCAGAGTCCCTGATATATTGTCTCTTGAAGTTCATATTAAAAAGAAAGGTACAGGGGCTGCAGAGATAGCTCAGAGGTAAAGAGCACTTGTTGTCATTGCAGAAAACCCAGGTTCAGTTCCCAGCAGCCATATGCTGGTTCAGTCATCTATAACTGTAGTTCCAGGGGATCCAATAAGTCGCTTACATGGTGCACATGCATGCATGCAGGAAAAACATTGATATACATAAAATAAAATCACCAAGCCTTTAAAAATAAAAACAAAAGATACAGAAACAAGGCTGATTTCTTAAAGAACATAGGAACTAAGAGGCATGGCCCATTATCTCAGGCCTAATGGGCAGGGCTTGAGGAAGCACACACTCTGAATTTGTGCTTGCTCTGCTCCCTGGAATACAGCAGCAGCTCCAGCCAAGGTATACAGGAGTGCTCTGGATTCCTTGGCCAGCCCTTCCCTGGAGAATCAGAGTTCTGCTGGAGGGTATAAGTGCTTCTACCTGAGATGCCAGGCTAATGACTGAGTGTAAAGCTGTTAAGTTTGGACAGGCTGTGTAATGAGTGGAAGAGTTGAAGAAAAACTAGTTGGACTAATTGGAATTTGGAAGTTAACGTTTGTTAGGACTTACTAGGACAAATTGCATCAATTTGGTAGTTCCAAATTAAGACTATTGGGGCTGATAATAAGAGGAGAAAACAATTTAAGAGGGAAAATAATTAAAATACTAAAGGGCTTGGCTGCAGCCCAGGCTTGTATAGCATACACATGAGCACATGCGTGCACATGTGTGCATATGCACACACAGAGAGAATACAACAGGTGGCCTATGTCTCTATCAAGTAGGGAATTTTGTTTGTGTGTGCGCATATGCACACATACACCTCAGGGCTCTTTTGTGGCGTGCAAGACACTTTTTGGCTAAGCCAGACTCTAATATTTTCTGCACATCCAGAGTATTTGTAAAATAGATTGCCATCAATGACTTAAATTGGAGAAATTTCGTCCTTTTAATTACTTCTTTTGGATGAATGGCGAATTTTGCCAGCCCTACTGCTCATGACAGTGTCTTCTTTTGCAAACTGTTGGGATACAGACAAAGAATGGAATTTTTCTTACTCATTTTCAAAGTTTTACCTGCAAATGGGCATGGGAGTAGGTACCATTCCAGGGCTACACTCTTGGAAGAGGTGGTTACACAGCAGGGCTTCCGCAGCTGGTCGGCAGAGTGGGCTCACAGCCTTCAGTTCATTCCATGCAGTGTGGATCAGCAGCTCTTGGGCCTCCTCAGGGTCTGAGTAGGAGGTGTTGAAAAAGACAAGAGCATCTTTCGCCAGGACTGCATCACACACCTCCCCTCTGTACTGGGCGCAGTAGCCTTTGTTGTCTTTCTGTGATTTACTGAAAGAAGCCAGGAACAGTGTAACCAGTCATATGCAATTTCTTGGCATCCATCCTGCCTCCGCCACCTCTCACATCTGCATCACAGAAGTAGGGAGAGACTGTCCTGGCAAATGTGTTGAAATGTTTCAAATGAACATTCTCCCCATTTCCAGCAGCAATGGTGTCATTTCTACATAACTGAGGCTGTGGAAAGCTTTGGAAATGGTCAAGAGCTGAGGGAATTCAGGCATTCTGTTGTTTATGTTTTATACAGAACGATGGTTCTTACTACAGTCAGCTCACATACTTCTTGCACATAAATGGATATAAACATTCATTGTGATGGATAACACAGGAGAGATCATATCAATTGCCCCCACAGAGAAAGTCAGCAGCAATTGATTTTACCAAGGCTAAGTACCTGAAATGTTTAGTACATTCCCATCTTGGCTTTGTCACTTGTTTATATGGACAATAATAACTCATAGGCTAACTGAAAGTTATTGAATGTTTATCACATGTCGGTACCATCATGATCTTTTGTATTCTTATGGTTTTCATAAGATCCCAGTCACTATCTTAGCCTTACACTACCATTCTATGAAAGATTTAGAGTAAGGACATTCAACACGCTGAAATTTGTGAACTTTTAAATGGCTGGGGGACACTATTTGAATTTGAAGAATTGGTACTCTATAAACCAACACTGTCAGCTCTTTGAAACAAACACATGAGGACAAAACACAATGAATCCAAATAAAATCATGTTTCATAAGATAGCTTCAATTTGGCTGGGTCATTTGCTAATTAGCCAGCAGGATCATTAATGTGCATTTAATTCATAGGGGATATTTAAGATAAAAAGCCCTAAATAAGAAAATAAGCCACTTAGGAAACCCAATCTGTGGTGGCACTATAAAAATATATATAAAAAATACACATACAAAAAACACACACACACACACACACACACACACACACACACACACACACACACACACACACAGAATCATGGTTACTATAGCTCAAAAAGATAGACTAATAACAAATAACCAGAAGTAGCCCATCCTGGTTTGCCAAGGGACTCACATAATACTATATCTTGGTAAAATGAGAGAGTAAATAAGAGCAGGAAAAAAAGAACCCTGTAATAGTTAAATAATTCTCACTGTCTTTGGCCTCAGCACTACTTTTCCAGGCTCTAATATCAAGTGTTAATTACTTAGTGAAGTTAATTTTTGTTTTTCCATCATCACAGACATATAACACACATTGGTGATTTTCCTTTAATTGAATGTTTGGAAAAGAAAAAGACACTGCAGAAAACTAATAAAAATGGCCTCAGAAATAAGGAATTAGTAATCAAAGAATAAAAGAGCAAGAGAAGGGAGTTGAAAAGGTTTTGAATGCTTTAGGTAGCACACATATGCTTTGATTAGATCCACAGCCCAAGCGTATGAAAATGTATTATATATAAACATTATTAATGTATATAGAGATACATCATATATTTCTAGAGATCACCCTCTAACTACCTATGAACTGCCTAGTCACAGTTTTGGCATTTTAACTTTTTTTTCCTTCTTTTTAGAAGATACTTAAAAAATTTGAATTTTACACAGCTATCCAATTTTAGATATCAGATATGGAGGCAAATTGAATTATTTAGTCCGCAGAATTTCTAAATCTATCATTAAGTAATAATAAGAAGAACCCCAAATGGTGCTCCCAGCAAGAACTGGGAGTCAAGGTGAGAAGAGAGCCTCCCTGCCCATGTTTTCTGTGGGCTTTTACACTGCCACCAAAAGCTGTGTGACTAACACGGTTCCTGATGATGTGTGGCAGTCTTACGAGCAGCTGGTTCTGTTGCTCTTTTGAACACTGGGGCAGAGGTTGCAGAGCTTCCTTTTTTTGGTTGCCATTTCACATACATGAAGGACATAATATTTACACTACTATTTTAACCTATCTTATTGGAATGGTTATGAAATAATTGTCCAAGGAACTTTAAGTTTTTTTCCTGATATTGTTTTTATTTGAATTAGAAACAAGATTGTTTTACATGTCAATCCCAGTTCCCTCTCCCTCCCCTCCTCCCCTACCCCCCCCCACTAAAACCCTACCTATCACATGTCCTTTCGCAGAGCTTCCTTTACAGAATGCTGATCATTCTGCACTGTTCTGGTAGGCCATCTCTTAAACGTACAAGTCAATGTTGCACATCGTACCCATTCCTGTATTACCTGACAACCCAAACCTGGCTGCACACCTTCTGTAGTGGCAAGAACAGGTAATAGATCCCAGATCCCTCATTTGCCTTCTCTTATGAAGGACGGCCCTGAAGTCAAATAAAACATTCGTGTGATTCTTCCTTCCTTTCCTCTCTACTAAGACAAGTCTGAATACATTGTGAAATACTACCTTCCTGTTTCCATGAAGGAGGCACCACCTCTTCCCTTTGAACTTTGTCCAAAGGCAAATGCAGAGGGCCAGCTATGTCCTGTTTGGTTTATGATATCCCCTACTGTAGTGGAAGTACACTCGATAGCTGTCCCTGTCCTTGGATCTTCCTTTTCATAGCAACTGCTGCATTTCCCCTACAAAGGTGATGGCCAAGGTTCTGAGCCATTCTCTGTCTTCAAAGCAGCTGCTTCATGTCTGTTCTGGATCCACTGGCAGAGGCCAGCAAATATAACTCAAGACCAGTCAGACTCAATTCTTAAAAAGAAATACCCAGATTCAAAAAGGACCTAATGACTTTTGATAATATTTTAAAACTTGGAATGTGGTCAATTATGGCTACTCATAATTACATATATTTAAAACCAATTTTAAATGTTCACATATATGTACCCTCACATGAGGGGCACTGTTTTTTCAAAGTAAGTGACATTTTTTCAGTCTTTTGTTTAAGCAAAATTTTCTTTTTAACTAACACTTAATTGACAGGAGTTTTGTATAGTATGTATGACATGATGCTTTGAACTTTGCACATATCATGGAATGGCTAAGTTGAATTAAAAAACATATATATTATCTCAGATGCATATTATCATTTGTGGTGAGAACAGTTAAAATGTATTCAGTGATTTTTTTTTAAAGAATACTATACATCATTATATTATCACTAGTCAAAATGACCTATAAATGTTCTCTTCAAGCTGTGTGTGACTGAATTCAAGTCCTTCATATTTTAAAGCTTATGCTTTTGTTTTACAGACTTTTTATTTTCTCCTGAGAGCTAAGAATGATATCTACATTTTAAGTGGTTGTAAAAACTTAAGAGAAGACTATTTAATGATGCATGAAAACTACATGAGCATCAAATGCATGTCCACAAATGAAGTTTTACTTAAAAAGAAGCAATTGTGCTTGTTTATACACGTCCCATGGCTGTTTTGTGCTAAACCAGAAGGCTGGGCAGTTTTAATAATGTCTGTATGGCTCACTGAGTGAATATATTAATATCTGACCCTTTATAGAAAATGTTAGCCAACCTCCGCTGTAGCATACTGATCAAATGTCACTTTGCTGAACTGCCAAGCGCAGTGTCCTCAGTGAGGAGGACATGACCTCTCGTGCTTCCTGTGAGAAAAAGCTAAGAGCTGTTTTCTATACAAAATGCACAATAGTACCAAGAAGAAACACTTCTTATTAAAAAACAAAAAAAATTGGAGAAAATTGATTTTGTCTCTTCCAGAAGCCAAAACAGAGAAAGAATATGAGGTTGGGAGGGTAAGGAGTGGGAGGATCTAAGAGGAATTGGGAAACAGGGAGTGAATATAATAAAAATAAACCATATGACATTCTCAAAGAAAAAAACTAAACATGGATTATATCAGTACTATTGACAGGTAATTTATATATTACATACTTGTGCAAATAGGTTGTGTTCTTTATATACAGAAATATCAGAATTGAGCTGTAAATATGTTTTTTCATCCTGCAGTTTCATCTCATAGCATATTATAAACCTTTGCATGTATCTTAAAAAACAGAGCTTCTAATCAGTTTCCTTTATCAGAAGATACATGTGTTGATATATTCATGAATGTGGGCAGCTGTGACTAGTGTTCATAAGCCTTATTATTACCTTAAAATAGATTTCTAAAAGTGGATCTTTTTGTCTATAGACACAACCACTTAAAGACTAATAAAAATTTCTAAGTTGAAAACTACAAAACCAGTGATTTTCTCCCTAACAGCAGAGTTTGAGAGTATTACATTATCACAAGAGAAAAGTGGATGGGGTGGTTCTTTTTATTTTTTGAGACGTGGTCTCACTTTGTTGCCTAAGATGGCCTCAAAACTTCACAATCTTCAGTCTCAGCCTTCTGAGGCTGCATCATTACCACATCCAGTTAGAAGTTATTCTTTGACTAGCACATTTATCTACTAACATGCTTAAACTTCTTTATTTGAATTCACTTGCATGGATATGATCTATGTCTAGTCTTTAAGCCCTTGGAATTAATGATTCCAGTATCACACTGTCCTACAATTAATCTTCATGTGCAGGAAAATATAAATCCTCCAGGGTCATAGGCAGACTTACTCCAGGGCAGTAAGATTGGTTTTGTGTCTCCATTTCTAAAACCAGGAATAGAGTACTTGGTTTTAAAAGTGGCACCAAGAGCAGTTATGTTAACAGTCTGGGAACAAAAGGTGATGTGTGTGTGTCTTCATTATTAAATGGATTATAGTTCAACTCGTACTGTACTTACATCATATATCCCTTCAGTAGGTACTGAGCTTCACTGTCAAGTTCTGAAGAGTCAGTACACTGCCACTAAGAACTATGAGAAACACTTAATAATTAACAGTATACCTCACAACAGAATGTCACAGCCATATATCCAGAGATGAGATTTAGAAGGAACCACACTTTATTGTGTATTGAATTATTTCACTCCATGAAATTCAAATCAGTGTCTAGAGTTAAATTTTTCTCAGTTTCTGGTCTTCTTGATAGGACACTGTGCAGCGGTTATGAGTCTGAGTTCTGGAGTCTGTCTGCCCAAACGTCAATGGAGGCCTAGCACTTTGTGACCTGTGTAGCCTAGCAACCCTTGCTGCATCTGGTTCCTTGTATGAAAAAGTATGAACAATAACACCTCTCCCTAAAGTCTCTGCAATGTTGAAATGAGAACAGGTACCATGACACTAACTGCAATGGTCAGTATTGCTATTATGGATTAATCATTTGTACTCATGCCACATCATGTAATTTTCAAAGCTTTTATGGTTTATCACCTGTTTTTTTTTTTTGTTGTTGTTTTTGTTTTTGTTTTCTGAGACAGTGTTTCCTTAAGCCAAGGCTGGTTTTGAACTCCGATCCTTCTGTTTTAGCCTTTGGTGTCTGACAAGTAGACACCACCACACATGGCAAATTGATTTTTTTCTTTTATTTGTTTGTCTTGAGACAAAGTGTCATGTAGTACAGATTGGCCTCAGATTCAGTATGTATCCCAGGCTATCCCCAAATACACTACACAGTCCAGTCTTGTCTTAAACGTCTGATCCTCCTGACTCAGCTTTTGGGGTGCTAGGATTAGAGCCAGGAACTTTTATACCAGGTTACCACATAGAATTTTTATGAAAGTCAATTTAGTATGAAACAATAGAGATAAAAACTTCTGAGTTAATATTTTTCATCTCTTGGAAAAACACAAGGAGGAGAGTTTTGGAGACAGTATTGAATTGCATTTCAAATGGCCTCATTTCTACCTAAATGAGTTTCCCGTGAGAAGATTTTCCCAGCTTCTTTTCTGAAAATGGAGGCAATCATGGTCCCTATGTGGCAGGGATATCTTGAGGATACAAATAACTTACATAGAGTGTCTGACACACCAAAAATATTCAGTTGACATTACTACTGTTACCTTCATTTATTATCTTACAAAATATTAAACAGTTTTAGACGTTAGAAATGTTCAAAAAGTTTATAGTGCTTAGTAGACAAATCATTGGTGTATCGAATAAAAACCACACGTGACATGAAACATTGAAATAATAATAGATTCTTACCTCCACTCTGTTAACAGGAAAGGAGGTGTCCATAGGAAACCAAAAACAAAGAAAAAGAACAGAGAAAAGTCAACACACGTTCATCTTACAGTCTAACCACTAAAACTAAGGTTCTGAGAAGTTCTCTGCTTCTCCTGGGAAGCTAGAGACTACATTAACAGGTGGACTTGGGGGAGATTAAGACAGTCTTGTTCCTAGGAGCTATAATCTTTCAGATGATGGCTGCCATGAAAGAAAATAGCTATTTCATCCAATTTTGCAATTAAGTTAATAGATAAGACAGACAGGCAGATAGGAAATAGAAGAGGTAGATAGATAGATAGGATGATAGATAGATAGGATGATAGATGATAGATATGAACAGATAGATGGTAGATATTAATAGGTATTACTGGCACTGGGATGTGATTTCTAATCACTAGCTGTATTGTTATTAGTTAAACTGCAGCAGGCAGCACAGAGAGGAGTGAGTGTCTATTCAGGAAAGGCATTTGCTCTTTTCCCTAGAAGCCCTCTTCTCCTTTGATATAAAGGAGCTAACACAGAGGAAGAAGAGGAGCTAGTTTTACAACAGCAGCAGGCCATATTTCATCTGTTCCCCAAGTTTCTGAATGAATGGTTGCTTATCAGTGGGTAGAATGAAGCAGAATAATTTTAAAGTGGATAATAAGACCAGAGGTTAAACAAGAGTAGGTGTTGTATTCCACTCTTAAGCATCACCCAAGAGTTGTAGAATCTGATTAAAAGTTTGGAATGAACTTGATTTCCCAAGGGAAAAGAAGATTATAGAAAGCATCACTGGGCATTGGTGGCGCACTCGTTTAATCCCAGCACTCGGGAGGCAGAGGCAGGCAGATCTCTGTGAGTTTGAGGCCAGCCTGGTCTCCAGAGAGAGTGCCAGGATAGGCTCCAAAGCTACACAGAGAAACCCTGTCTCAAAAAATCAAAAAAAGAAAAAGAAAGAAAGAAAGAAAGAAAGAAAGAAAGAAAGAAAGAAAGAAAAGAAAAGAAAGCATCAATACTTGGTCTCCAGTGACTGGAGAAAAGTAACACAGTTTTCTCTGTGTGCATGGCAAGTCTAGATTTTAATACACTGGTTTAACATTTCAGTACACTGGTTACACATGCCATCTTGGGACTTTGTCACCTTGCTGTTTCCTCTTGAATTTATGAGTTATTCAAACTTGTTCTGAAATTCACAATAAACACACACACACACACACACACACAACTCCAAACTCCTGTCCTTTCCCAAAGAATTGCTTATGTAAGAGATAGAAGTCTACATCCCTCTAGTGCTAAGGAGAGGCTTTATTCCTTTAGGACACATCCCAATTATATTCAGTAAAGGAAACTGACAGGCTCCCAAGTGAACATAAAAGAAGTGTTAAGTACTGTGTATGGGTCTGTGAGATCCATCTCACCAGGGAAGTCATTGGACAATCACTTCAGAAATACCTCCAACTTAATTTTCATTCTGAAAAATAAAATCTACTAAGTCTTTTACTGACTAAGAAAGGCAGGTTAGGCTGATGGATTCTCATTTTTATTTAAGAGATACTGCTGGAGATCAGGAGATGACTCAGCAGTTAAAACACTTGCTGAGCAAGGATGTAGGGGGTTTGGAGCCCTAGACAACAACATAAATGCCCAGTGGGTGTGGTGGTGGCCTGTAATCACAGCCTCTGAAGGCAGAGACAGGGGATCCTCAGAGCAAGCTGGCTAGCTAAATCAGTGTATTCTGGGTTTGACTGAGAGACCCTGCTTCAATGCATACAGTAGAGGTGCAATGAGTATGGTTCCCAACATCAACTTCAAGTCCTCATTTGTGCACCCACACAATTCACTCCCACACATGCAGGAAGAAAATACAAGAAACAGGGAAAAACAATGAAATAAGAGAGAGATGTTTCTAATCCTTTGCACAAAGTTTGACTTAGGAATTGGAAGTTAGATTTTACTGAATTGTAGACAAGCTAGCAGGGATTCCTTAAAGAATAAAAGGTTCTCATGAGGATTCTCCACTACACAGGCAGACACATAAGGAAGGGGACAATAGGGAATTCCTCTGATGAGGAAGAACAAAGGTAGATCCTAAGAGCAGCTGAGCAGGGAGACACTGACCAGTGAGGGAGCTGCGGTCTTGTATATACGATGCCTTCTTCTAAATTTCTATTGGGGTCTTCATGGCATGAGCAAAGGCCAAAGAGGACCCAGCACCTGAGAGGAGAGAAGCCACTTCCAGATGGAGGATGAGTAAGCAAAAAGAAGCAATGACACAGTTTGGTGTGCTGTCCCCAAAGCTGTCCAGTTTGGAAAAAGAGATCTCTAATTAAAAGAAAATAATCAAATAATAATTAATTTGAAATGTAAACATGGGCATGTATATCTGTGAGAGAAACTATGCCCTCTCTCTCTCTGGGAGAGGCTCAGGAACTCTTATGACTCCTTTGATGACTACTAGCAGATGTAAATGTCCCAGAGAGAAATGTAATTTTTAAACAATGAATGTATGAGGGTCTGGGGGACACATGGATGGTTGCTGGGAAAGTGAAGGCTGATCTTTCTTTTCATTGTCCTTGAAACCCTAGAAATATCAGGAGACAAAACCCTAAACACAATAGGATACCAGCTCTTTCCACATCCAGTTTTTCTGCCGGGATGAGTAAATAAACAGAGGTAAGGTTTCCAAGTGAAACAATGGTTGTGACAGGGAACTGCACAGGGCATGTGGGGAGGAATGGCTGAAATAGGAGGGAGCAGCAGCAGAGGTAGGGACACTGACAGAAGGGCAAGAGGAGACATTCTGTCTGACAGAAGCCCCACTTTTTGTAGCAATGTCACCAGAGGTGACTGGAGTCAGGGATGTCTGGAGACATCATCCCCAAGCTCCTGGAAATCTGAGAACAGTATGGACATCCTGGCTAGAAATACCCCCTTCTTCAGGCCCTGAATTAATGTGCTAAAGATCTCCTTTTCATACAGTGACCTCTCCTCCCTGAAATATTGACCAATACCGAGCTCTAGAGTTAGAAGGTAGTTTCTTTGGGATTCCAGGGAGGTCTTTATGGGGCATCCAGCAGGACTAACTGAGGAGCGTTAAGGGGAAAATGGCATATAGCCCTGGCAAATGAGAGGTCTTAAAGTGGAGGAAGGTCAAAGTATCATTGACACCTACCAGAGGACAGATGAGGAGCTGGGAACCAGAGCAGGAGACAGCACCAAACATGTAGTGGTTTCCCCACAGATGGGTGTGGCTCTGATTTACCATGGACACTGTAGTCCTTCTAAGTCTTTTTCTTTTTTCCTTTCTGTTTTTCTCTCTATACTCACATATCTTTACTTGAACCCCAACATTGCAACATTATGACAATGCAGAGAGACAGACTCAGAGGAAGGCATGGAGACAGGAAGGGGTTGACTTAATCAGGTTATAGACGAAGCCCTTCCTGATGCTGTGTGCTCTACCTTGATGGCCCTTTCCCAGCTCTTACAGATCATGCTTTCCAGGATAGTTTCAAGTCCCACTTCTAGAAATCCAGTTCTTCCAACTCTAAAGTGACTTCCATACAACCCTATTGTCAGACCCATGGACTAGTTAAGTTATCCCTGATACCAGTCTTGATGGCCATTGATTCTGCTGAGGTGACTGTTGTTCATCTGCATTCAGCTCTGCTGCTACAAGGGATGGAAAATCCTTCTCTGCTGCTGCCTGCTGAGCTAGGCATCACTCCCGCTATTCCATTCCTATCCCACTGTGGTTTTCTCTGGCCTTTCATTGCTGGTTATCCCTACCCCTTACCCAATGTAGTCATGCCTTCTACATTGCTGTCTCATAACTAATGGAGCACTGTACCACAAGAAGATTTCACTGGGAGGGCAAGGTGCTTGGTTCAGTGGGTAAAAGTGCTTGCTGCACTGACAACCTGAGTTCAAGCTCCAGAATGTAAGTGAAGATGGAAATATAAAACTGAGTCTACAGAGTTGTCCTGTGACCTCTTCACATGGCATGGTATGTGCACTCCCACCCCCCACACCCCATCACCACACAAATAGTCATACTGTTTAATTTTTAAAAGAATTTATCACTACATGTTAAGATTATGCATCTCTCTGTTGGTATATGCCATTGTTAATGGAATTGGATCTGGCTTTTGCTGATTAGGACAGGGATGGAGAGATGCTGCTACTCTGTAAGACACGTGCCAGTTGTGCTAAGTGGTCTTTATAGTTTCTGCAAGATCATGCTTTTTTGTAGGGTAGAAATAGCTGTTTTGCTAGGTTCTTTCTTTGTCGCTGACAATGCTGTCTCTACAATCATCTTGGTATCTATGATGAACAGGCTCTAAAGATTAAAGATTATCATACTGGGGGTAGGGTAGTCCCCGCAACTGGTCTGCTGTGGACAAGAGGAAGGTAAAGAGGCAAAGAATTTGAATACACAGTTTTGTAGATTGTGGACCCTAATTTCTATATACCAAACAAATCAGTCATTAAGATAAATGCTGAGAGAGAGTAGGGAGAGAGGGAGACGAAGAGGAAGGGAGGGACAGAGGGAAGAAAGGAAGGAGGGAGGGAGGGAGGATTTCCCAACTTCTCATTTGGAATTCTAACAGCAAAGCACAGTACAAGGGTCTCCTACCCTGACATGGAGTGGCAGCACTGCTGTCAGGGGAACAGCATGAAATGGGTGCCCAAGCAGCGACTGGGTGAAGAAGTCTAAATTGGGCTTTGATTTTGCACAACTTGCAAGAGATGCAGAAATGGTTTCAGTCCTATGGAGGACACAGGCAGCTGAGTAGAGTCAGCAGGTCTGCCTTTGTTTCTCAGTGGAGATACACAGAGTGACCTCACTGTTTAGGATACAGAGCAGACTCTATGTAGGGATTTGATGATGGGTTTGGCGGAGATGCCAAGAGCTGTGACTCTCTAAAAGGTACTCAGAGGCAGCAAATCATCCAGGGAAGTCATCTGGGTTCTAACCCAACTAAAAGATGAAATCACAAATTCTCCAGCTCCAGATTTCTCTAGATCCAGGGGATTGAAGGACACCACTGAAGTGTAAATCCTTTTCTTCTTTGTCATCTAGAGGAGAGATGGAAAAGGAAGAAGGGGGAACTCTAGCAAGGAATTATCACTATAAAAACAAGAACTTGCATAAATGAGACTCTCTAAAGACTGGCAACCCTAATATTTATCTTCTGATGAACAAGCTAAACTAAATGCCTGCGACATCCCATGTAAATGTGCTCATCCTTTCTACATAGCTTATTGAAACCTTAAGCATATATTAATGGATTCTCCCATTTTAGTACCATATTTGAGCACTTGCAAACCTCAATTTTATCCTGGTAAGTCTCTCCTGAAAGTCCTAGTGTAATGTCTTCTGTAGGCCCAGGAAGGAGTCTCCAGCTGGGCTTGCCCGCCAAGCTCATGCTACTTCCACCATACTGATTTGCTGAAAAGTGTATCTAGCCATGGCACTTACTTCCTCCTCTATAATGAAGAAATGACTTCCCACTTATGCAGAACTGGATTGACCCAATCTGGACTCTTCATAAGCTGGCTGCACTTCACATTTCAAATCTGTCTTGTTACTGTCTACCTCCTTTTGGTCTCTAACACAATGACTAATCGCCTTCAGAACACACTTCAGTCTATCCCTCTCACAGTCATGTCCATCTAAATGGTCTCTCTCCCCTTGAGCTCTCTTGCCCTCCTGTTGTGTAGTCAGTATTTGTGGGACAGGACAGAGTCTGTGCCAGCATGCACATGGCTGACAAACTTCCTTTCTCAATGGCAGTCCTTGGAAAGCAAGATCCACTGTTAATCAGTTTTTGCTTTTATTCTGTCCCACAGAATGGGCCATTCTCATCATATTTAATAAATGCATATAAAGTCAGTTATAAACAGCAGAGTGTAAGTGGTAATCATTTTATTATTCTCTTTAGCATATTGAATTGAATTTGCTTTTTGCCATCTAGTCATTGCCTGGATGAAATGGTGATGGAAGGGGCAGCCTATTTCTTGCCTTTTTGAGCATGTCCCCAAGGTCCAGCCTTGTCTACTGATACTTATACTCTTTGGTCTCTATTTTCAGATTTAAAATCATAGGCAGTGTTGGAAAGTTCTCCACCAGGAAAGATCAAAGGAATAGACTGTAATAAGAAGCAGCAAGCTCCCGGAGCTGGCCCTGAGTCCTCCAGTGCTGGCCTTACATGTCAGGCCAATCACCTCTCAACTGGTCCTTGAACAGTAGGCCTGCTAACATGCCTGGTATTTCCTGATTATTTCCATCTCTAGGAATTCCACAAATGTGCCTAGAAGCCGTTCGGATATTTAACTTTTAAAAATAACCCTTCACAACACAATGTAGATAGCCTAGAAGCCCACGTGTCAGCTGTTTCCCATGAAAATACCTGAAAGTCCTGCTGTCACTTAGATCACACAGGGAAGTGAACACACACACACACACACACACACACACACACACACACAGACACATACACACACACACTAAAAATGCCTTCAAGAAATAGCCATATGGAAATTGGCTCAGTCATATTAAATATAAAGAGCCTTGAGAAATTTGCTTAACCCAAATGGGGATGGGGAGGGTGGTGTTAAAAGGAAGAAGGAAGGAAAAGAAGGTAGGTAGGGAGGAAGGAACTCAGGAAGGGAGAAGGAAGCAAGGGAAGGGAAGAGGAAATGAGGCAGACAGAAAAGAGGTAGGGAAAGAGAAAGGAGAGAGAAAGAAAACAGGAAAGAAGGAGAAAACACAAGGTCCTATACATTGGTATCCATCATTTTTGAGCAAAAAAGCTGAGATTTGATTTTTGATTCTACAAAGTTAAAGTCCATGTCTCCATCACTCAAAAGTGTCAAAATGAACAAGGAATCAGTCTCAAAGGTACTGAGGTGGTAAAAATAGGCTGTCTCTATTCCAGATGTTGTGGAGTGCCAGCTCCCCCCTCTCCTGGAGCAGTGCAAACATGCAGCACCTACCTACTATACTGACAGTGGCTGCTGCCTTTGATGTACTGAATTTCTCTCCATGCTTATTGGTAGCTATGCATGTGTAGAGTCCTGGCTTGGTGATAAAGAGCTGGAGTCTTGAATCAATCACCCGGTCTTTCACACTCTCTTGAATGGACCCTGAGGAAACCTGTAGGGTGTGGGACAAATGAAAGGTAGAACTAGATTAGCCTCTTCTAATATACCACATTGCTAGTCTTGAAGGATAAAGCATTTCAGTTATGATCATCAGGCATTAGGAGAGAACTGCAAACACAGATACGTTCCCTGTCCCTAGACTTTTGAGGTTTCAGATGCTTAAACCAGGCCCAGTGTCTCTTCCCCTTCCTGCTGCCTGCCAATCCAGATGCAGAACTCTTGCTTCCTTCTCCAGCATCAGGTCTGCCTGAACTCCACCATGCTTTCCACCATGATGGTAATGCACTAAACCTCTGAACCAGTAAGCAAGCCCCAATTAAATATTTTCCTTTAGAAGAGTTGCTGTGATCATGGTGTCTCTTCACAGCAATAGATACCTTAGGAAACTGGTGGATGAAATACACATGGTCCATACCACCAAACATATGAGAAAAGGTATTCTGGACTCAACCAGAACCTACCCCAGCTGCCAGTCATAATAGTCAGACTAGCCTAGTGTTTGGAAATCGTTGCTCGAATCATTGAAACCATCCAGTTGAACCACAGACTTGTGACCACTAACAGTTACTGTTTTAATCCACTTGGCTTTGAGCTTTTTTAATGAGATAGCCATAGATACCTAATATGAGCTCCAATGATACTCTTTGTAGGTGCTCTAAGGTTTATCCTATTCTGCAGCTAGGAGCAGAGAAGTTAAGAGGTTTTAGACATCTGACCACTTCTCTATAAATGGACATCAGATTGATAGTATGAAAAGTTGTTTGTGGGGCCAAGACACTCATACAAACAATGCTGGACCCTTAAACCAGTAGCCAAATGTCTGTGAAGAGCCAAAATATCAATATATTAGCATGTAATTGACAAGATTAATTATACAAATGCTTATTCACTAATCATCATTCCAACTATATAGTTAAGACTGCCCACATTTTCTTTTTTAATTTTAAATTATATTTCATTTATTTATTTTGCAAAAGTGTGTGGACAAACTCATGCCATGCCATTTGTGAGAGGGTGGGAGTTATCTCTCTCTTTCCATGGTGTAGCTCTCAAGGATTGAACTCAGGTCATTCCACTCAAGGATTTAACTGGCAGGCACATTTTCCCTACTGAACAATCATCCCATTGGCCCAAGACTGTTCACGTTTTCTATTCATCTGAGAGTTAGAACTGTACCCCTGTGGTCTGACACCAAAGTGAATGAATTTTTAACCATTATGTTCCCTAGTCTTTGAAGAGAAGGCAAATGAGTTGTCATCAAGCAAGCACAATCACTTGGATCTTGAATGTTTTCAAAGCCTCATGTGTGAAAGTTGTGGTTGACAGTCTTGGTAAGATTGCGGAGCTATGGAAGCATTAGGAGTTAGAACCCAGAAGAAGCTGCATCATCAAGCATGTGGCCTTGAAGGGGATGTTGGACTCCTTTCCTCTCTACATCACAGCTGAGAAGAGCAGCCTTGTCCACACACTCCTACAGCTAGATACATTATTATGTCAAATAACATCCAAGAGAGGAGGCCAAAGGACTTTAGACTTGGGCCTCTGAAACCATGACCCCCAAATAAGTCTGTCTTCCTTATTCTGTTGTTTTCTCAGATATTTTGTCACAGCTACAGAAAATGAACGCTACATAACATTAACAAATCAACTAACAAATGCCAATGTAAAGATGGTGGCTTATTTCAAAATGGCAAGTTTTTATTCTGTTTTCTTAAGCACTGTGACATATTTTAATAATTATTCATTAATCACCATTATTTAGGTGAGGGAGAAATGATACCATTTGAGGAAAATTAAAGAATTAGCCAATGCTATTTTGGAGGACTGGATGTTGAGACCATATCAACATGAGCTTAGCTTCCCTGAAGTAAATTCCTTGGTACGAATGTGGCTAACAGTGGGAAATATGAAGAGAGGTATCTCACTATTTCACATGCAAGTATTCTTAGACTAGTGAGAGAGAGAGGGATGCTCTGAGATGTGTCTGAGATGTGACCAGTTTTCTAATCTCTCTGCCTCTCTCTGTATCTCTGTCTCTGTCTTTCTCTCTGTGTCTCTGTCTCTGTCTCTCTCTCTCTCTCTCTCTCTCTCTCTCTCTCTCTCTCTGTGTGTGTGTGTGTGTGTGTGTGTGTATGGGCAAGGGTGGGGTGCCATAGTGCATGTGTGGAGGTCAGAGAACCACTTTGGATGTCTAGCCTTGCTTTCTATATTGTTTGAGACAGAGTTTCATGCCTACTGCATACAGTGGCTTCTGGAGACTGTTTCTACTTCCCACCCTCTGGAGTACTAGACTCTGGGATTGCAGATGCAAGCTTTCACTTCCAGCTTTTATGGGCATTCTGAGGATCTAAACTCATGTCTTCAGGCTTGTGTGCTTTTCACCTGAACCACTTCCCCAGTCTACAACCAACATTCTTCCTAACTGCCTAATGGTCAGCTATCTCCAGCACTCTATACTTTCCATAGCAATTAGGCAATGAAATTTTGTTCATTTATCTTCTTAGTCTTGTCACCCTCTACCATCATTACTAGTCTTAATCACCGGGAAAACTGTCTAGGTCAGATCAAACATCATGGCACCCTCACCCCCACACAAGTAGCCTGGTCTCTATGGGAAACAGATGAATCAGAGAGAAATATCTTTAAGAGGGTATAGCACCCCTACTAGCAAGAGAGCACAACCAGCAAAAAGTTTGGCTTAGTAGCATAAGAACCTGAGTTTGATTTCCAGAATTCACACACACACACACACACACACACACACACACACACACACACACACACACACGCTCTCGAACAAAACACTGATGTGTGCTTGTAATTCCAGAGAAGCCCAGACAATTGACACTTTGAGGCTCACTTTCCTGTGCCTCCCCACATGAATATGCATTCAGGAATTTCTGCTGAGTTTTTTGTTATCATATTTCTCAGAAGCCCAACATCTTATAGATACAAGTTTCCAGGTTAGGTCTAAGAAGCTGGACATCTTTAAACTCAAACTCTCCCTGATTTTACTCCAAAACATCAATAAGGAACAAACTGAGGTCTGAACTTCCATGGTCAGTCATTGTGCTTGGTGTGTTTTGCATTTTATATCTTGTGTATGAGGATCATCTCTTTTCAGTTTATAGAAGTGAAGCACTAGGGCTGTTTCTTCCCTTCTTTGACAAGCCGGTTCCCTCCTTTGAGAAGAAAAGCTGTGCAGTGCAGTGCAGCAACTTCAGAGCAGTCTGCCAGTGCTGCCTGGACTGCCTACTTTCCTGTTCACACCTAAGCATGCCATTCCTCAACACCTCCCTAAGGTCACGAGGTCACTGAAAACATGCTCCACAGAAAGGAGCAGAGCCCTGCAAGCTGCCTGACCTCTCCAGAAGACTCCATCCAAGGGCTGGAATAGTTCAGTGGCCAGGCCAGGCCATCCAAAGCTTTCTAGTCAAGGATGGCGTGGCTTCTAAGTGCTTTTCCTCCTGCTTCCAAAGGCCTCATTTGATTCCCTCAGTGACTCATGCACAGCAGGCCTTGTTAGTCATAGTTTGAATTTGTTTTTCTTTCTTCATAGCTCACCCCCACTAACAGTTTAGTATTTTTGATGATCTAAAAATAAAAGCAACCCTCTGCCCTCTATTTGGATCACTTTGCCCCCTTGCTGGGTTTTAAAAGATCAAAGGGATGAGTTCAGATTATTGTTGTGACCTTTTACCAAGGTATGCTTAAAGACTACTGGGGCAGTGGCCCTGCAAGTATCTGTGGCCTGTATGGATTTGACTGACTTTGTATTGAAAATATTTTAACGTGTATTTATATTGAACACATATAAGATTTTTTAAACCTGTCAGTTATTCCCTAAACAAAAGTAACAGTTATTTCTGTAGCATTTGAACCAAGAGATGATTTAAAGTATATGATTTAAATGTGCAAATACTGCACCATTGGACGTAATGGGCTTGAGAATCCAAGTTTTTTGTTAGCCATGGAGGGCCTCGAACCAATATTCCACATTAAGCAAAGGCCAACTGGACTTAACTCTGGTGATTGTATCTGGCGTTTACAGTGAGGATGTTTTTGCCAAGTCTCTCAGATTCACTTAACTAAAGAAGCCAGAATAAATTCTCTTCTCTGGCTGGAACATTCTTCCTTTCTGACAGTGATGACTTTTGTAAAAAGGTAGATGGATTTGTTAATCTTCTTAACTGCAGTAATTATATCACTGAGTATATTGCATACAAAAAAACCATTCTTATACCATAAACTTATTACAGAAAAATATAATAAAGAAATATTTGACGACTGCAGAGATGGCTCAGTAGTTAAAGCATGTATTGCTTTTGCAGAGGACCAGAGTTCCAATCTCAGCACTCACATCACAATGGGCAGTGTACAGCTCCTGTAACTCCAGCTCCAGGGAATCTGATGCTGAACATCCTGGGCACTTGTAAACTTTTCTCTTTTACACACACAAAAAACAAAGGAAGTATTCTACTTTTTCCATGATACAGGGGAAGATACAAACTCCCAGGGTTCAATGCCAGTAGTTTCTGGGACTAAAGATGGCTTTAAACACTCATACAAGTAGGGCCAGTGAGATAGATAGGAATGTTAACATTACATTGCAATTACTTTTCTATTGCTGTGATAAAAATACTATGACGAAATCAATTTATAAAGGATAACATTTAACTTGGGGCTTATGGTTTCAGAGGGGTAAAGTCCATGAAGGTGGAGCAAAGGTATAATCAATCGTAAGAATAGCTGAGAACTTACATCTTGATCCACAAGTTGGAGACCAAGAAAGGGACAGAGAGAATAGTGTTTTGAAACCTCAAAACCCACCCCCAGTGCCACACTTCCTCAAAAAGTTCCACCAAACATATGTGGCTGTGGGAGTTGTTTTCATTTCATTTACCACATACTATAGGTACATGATATGTCCAGAAATTCATCACCAGTGGGTCTTTCCCCAAATGATCCCAAGCACAAGGCACTCACAGCATTTCCGTTTTCAATCCAGCTGATGGTGGGGACAGGAATGCCTATTGCTGTGCATCGTAGGGTTACAAAGGAACCAAAGGTGACATTGTGGGACTCAGGAGCACGCAGGATTCTTGCAAAAACTGTTAGGAAGACAAAGCGCATGAGTGGCTTCTTTATGAAATAGCTAAGCAAAATAAGACTTTAAATACTTCAGTCATGTGGTGTGCCCCTGAATGCAATCAATCCTTCATTGTCACTATGCTTGGTCTCCATGCTCTTTGGTCTATGATCTTGTATTTCTCACCATCTCAGGCCACGCAGAGCTTATTTCCAACATAGAAGCTTGTCTTTGCTGTTTCTCACTCAGAACATTCATGCTCATGTCTTCATGTGATGGCTTCCTTATATGTATAACTCAGGTCTCATTTAAAGGACATATTCTTGGACAGTAATCATCCAACACAATACAGCTTCCACTCAACTTTGTCATTCTCTTTTATGATCTTTACACACTGCTATCTGCTATTCCCTTAGTTCCTATTTATCTACTCTCCAGCTCTCACATGAGATTGTCTTAGCCTATTTTGTTCAGCCCTGAATTAAGTGCCCAGAAACATTCAGGATCAAAATGAGCACAGGACACTGTTTCAGTGAATTAAATAAATGATTAATGGTTGTACCCTCAACTCTTCCATAGTAAAGAGGACAAATTCAAATATATCACACATTTCAGAGAATGGAATGATTCACTGGGGAAAAGGAAAGGAATATTTTAAATTAATGTGAGGAGGGGAATGAGTCATTTGCATTCCTTAACTCTACAAATCTTCACCAATTAAAAAATCAGTCCTTCAGAGTTGAGAGAGGTAGAAACTCAGAATGAACTGGAGAGCACCATTTGCAAGACCGTCTCTCTCTCTCTCTCTCTCTCTCTCTCTCTCTCTCTCTCTCTCTCTCTCTCT